ATCTGCAGTTAGTTACACAAATTTAGATATGGGATGAAATCGGATAGGGATGAAATCGTTTAAGGATGAACAGGTTTAAGAGTTTGTAAGAGTTTTTAAGAGTTTTAGTCAAATGCTTTATAAGATAGTATAGATAATTTGGATAAATAAGAGTTATGGTTCCAATTACAGTCTATCGATGAAAAAAATTGTATGACAATTTAAAATCCAACATATTTAAACGACTGCACAAATGTATTCGATTTACACCAAGAACAAAGAATCAAGAGATCGAGAGTTTTAAAGCAATTGAATGAGAGATGAATGAGATAACTTTTAATAACTCATGGTGAATATCAATTTGAATCTCACCTTGGGGGATGGGGAGAAGATATAGAGATATGAGAGGGTGAAGACATGAGTGAAAGATGTCAAATGTATCTTGGGAACATGAAAAGAAAAAGTAATAATGTGCATTGTAAACTTGTACTATATATTATTTTAATTGTAGATTAAGAGATTTTAAGACTAAATGCATAAAGTATTAGTACTTAATGCATTATGAGTTGTTTTTAAGATTTTGTGCATAAATGTATAGTACTTTGTGCATTAAAAATTGTTTTTACGATTTTTGATAAATCTGGTTTATAAGGTGGTATAGATAGTAGAAACTTTGTGGGTGTAATGATAGTTTTACCCTAAACGTGTATGGCGTTTTTGATGTTGAGGAAGAAGGCCATGAATCAATTCACCAAAAACGGGTTACATGCCAAAAACGTGAATGTTAAAAAAAATCATATTTTATAAGAATTATAATGCTAAAGTTTGAAATATATTACTTATTTTTTAAATTAATTAGAAGGGTACTCGCGCAATGCAGCGAGATACATCTTGATTTCAATATTTTATTTTATTTTATTTTTTAATTTCAGTCGATGCTATAGTATGGTCTTATTTGATTTTGAAAAAAACGATAATGTTTTTATTTTTGAATAAAATATAAATTTGAAGATATCATAAAAATTTGACAAAAGTATATCCATATTAGTATCAAATTAACTATTTAAACTTCCTATTTTTGTGTAATTTTTAATTCAATTTTTTTTTATTATAATTTAGTTTAGGTTCAATAACGAATAATTTATATTTTTCTTTAATAATATAATTTTCTTATAAAGATAATAATTAATTTTTTTATTAGAACTCTATAATTATCCTAATTATATTTTATATTTTAAAATGAGATGTTTATCCAATATTTGATTATTTTTATCTACAGTTAGTTAGACGAATTCAAGTATGGAGTTTTAATAAGTTGTACTTATGCATAATTTACTTGTAATCTTTAATTTTAAATAATATGCATCAATATACAGTATTTCATGCATAAAAAATAGTTTTTAAGAATTTTTGTCAAATTTTTTTTATAATATAGTATATATAATAATAGTAGAATATATTAATTTATTACATAAATTGATATTGTTATCGACTTATTAGATAAATCAGATTCTGACACTGCATGTTGCATGATAATTAGGAAATATATAACCAAGTTAAAATGACATGTAATTCATTAATGACAATTTGTATGCTCTAATAATACTAATAATGCATGACAACAATCGGGTAGAATGAAGCAAACCATAATCAAGAATCAGATGTGGACTACTCGTTCGTTTTTACTTCCCAGAAGCTCCAACATCATACGTAAACCGAAAATTTGACATTAAAAAATATGAATCAAATGATAATGCCTGAAAAACCAACAACTATTAACGGTAAAAATGCATGCACAAACCACAAGGGTGGTGCTTGATTGGTTTGAGCTTGGCTCTAAAGGTCAAAAGTACTAGTAGGTCTCAGGTTCAAATCCAATAAGGAATAAAAATCATCTTGTGGCCACGGAGGTTCTAATACGATGACTCCGGACTATCTGCAAAACAGGTGGTCGTCTTGGGATTAGTCGGCTCACATAACAAATTTCAATTTGAAAAACAAATTTTATCAGATCTTGTAATCACAAAACTATCAAAGTTTTATTCGAATCCATCATCTCCCCTGAACCTCGAGCCCACCCTCAACCTCGAACCCAGAAGCCCTTGTATGCGGTCTTGCTCGTAAGATTTAAAAACGTTGCTCACTGTTGTTCTCGTGCTCCACCCCTCGCATCAATTAGTAAGCTGATATATATCTTAGGGTTTTAGTCCATCTTTTTTTATGCTTCTGTAATGTTGAATGCTTCTGTCTTTCGTTATGTCGTATTTTAGTTCGATGATATCACTATAAATTGCAATCTACGAGTCATTATCATATAACTATTCGATTTTGATGAATCTTATTCATACAAATTAGGAATTAGGGTTTTGAGTGATGTCTTTATGAAGTTTCGAGAGTTGGGGACTCGGGAGTAGCATTCGCTTGTCGGGTTTTCTTGGCAAGGGCAGGAGTTACAAAGGGTGGTGTGGGCAGGTCCGTTCCTGGCATTTTATAAGCCCTGGGCGAACGTAAAAACAGGGCCCACTGCAAGAAAAAAGGCTATTAACAACGACTTTTGTCATCGCCAAAAGTCCATTTATCATCAGAAAGAGTATATAATAACAACATGTCGTTATAACTTGTGACGGAAACATGTCATCGCTAAAAGACGCATCGTCAATGTGGGTTGTTTTTATAAAGGCGTTGGACTTTTATCAATATACCTTTATTTATCTATAAATTAAAAAACCTTTCATCCTCTACTTTTTAAATCGAAAAAAATACGAAATACGATCGAAATTCGAACGAAACAAATTACATGAAAAAACAACCATATATTTCTCATTAATTTGTTGGTATGTGCTTGTGCAACATGGAAGGAAGACAAGGCCTTCATTTCTATTTTAATTTGTTGACTGATCATCATGAAAATTAAACACCGGATGTGATGTGTGTATGTGTGCGTGCGTGCGCTTGTAAAAGAGGAACGGGATGCCGGAAATGGTGTGGTGCAAGGGGAATGCGCAGTGGCGGATCCAGTTAATTATTGAAGGATAAAATAACATTGAACGATGGTCGATAGTTGTATCACGCATAACACCAGTTTCCATCATCTACCAACAAATTTAGGGTAATAAAAGCATCGTAAGTTTATTGGACCATGGTAGGATGGTTTTTCATGGAAATAGAGAAAAAATGAGTGGCAGAGTCACGACCATCTCTCAAACTGCTTCTGCAAATCCCACTCGTAACTTGCCATAATCGAACACTGTGTGGTATGGACCCATGAACATATCTCCCAAGATCCTGCATCAAAATATCCACCGTTAAATGTTTAAAAAAGCATTAAAGGGGAAGTGGAATAGGTAATTACCATATAGGTCCTTGAGGAGACATAATATCGAGAGCAGTGAATCCACTGATGCATATTGCTGCTTCTCCCTCACCCGCTTTGAAGATGTACTGATCAATTTCATACATGCTAATTACCCACACAGTAAATAAGCCCTTAGATGTTAAAAATATCAAGAAAGTGCTGAATGATCACCTGTTCTGGGGTGAGCTCAAAAAGTTTGCTACCAATTGTGAAGGCAATATTAGGCATGGAGGAAATACCATTGCAGTCTACTATCGATTCTGCACTTGAAGTGGGTAAGTGATCACACAGCTGCATTCAGATATCTCAAGGATTAATTAAAAAGACTCAATATTTTAATCATATAATTAATATTGTTAACATTTTGACTTTTGGTTCTCGGTTTACATCACCTCATTGACATAGTTGATTATGTTATCTTCAGTCTCGTTTCGTTTGATTTCATTCTGCATCCAAACGAGAGCCATCTCACAAAAGGTACAAATCTCGTCACCAGAAGACTTGTCGTTGTTCTTGTCAACCACGCTCTCAATCATTGATCTGTCAAAAACATGATAGTTGATGTATCTCACGTCACATGGACATACATTACCCCGATATTCGTTTTCTACAGGGAATCCCCGTAGTGAACCAGGTTTCCGAATCATACAGCATGGTTGATTTAACATACAATATGAAACTGACCTAACATGGCGAGCACCATCAAAAGTGCAGAGCTTCATATGAGAACAAATTTTATCGGGTTGCACCTATAGGACATCATAACAAAAACCAGTTAAACTGTAAACAAGTTTCTAGAAATGAACAATATATCATAAAGGGAAGGATGATAGGTACCTCAGATGTGAGCATCTGAATCATTTTCTTTCCATACTGACTAACCAATGTTTTGCATTGTTGGTTCAAAACCCCTTTTGCACCAATTGCTTGATTGATTTGAGTAATAATAGCCTAAAAGAGTCACATTTTACACCCGATGTTAGTCTTCACTCTTCAGTAGCAGAATTGAAAAACACACTTAAGTGGCGTTTGTTTTTTAAAAGGTCCTTAAGTCTGAAGTCTGATTTCACTTCTGATTTATAAGAGGTGGTACTCAAGTCTAAAATCTGGAATTGCTGCACATAAACGTACCGTTGGACCTGCAATCAAAGAGGTTCCAGAGTCTGCAATTGCTGCACAACCACCGGCACAAAATCCTGAAAGAGAGAAGGGTTCCAACATATATAAAATCAAAATCAGCCAAATCTAGTCGATACGAGACTCTAAAAATCCACATATATAAAGACGCAAAATCAGAACACTGAAAAAGTACCGGAACTTTTATCTCCAATAAGAACGTCACCCATTTCAAACTTCGGACAAGAGAAACAAATAAAATTCAGCAACCAATGAGAGACTAAAACATTAGATACATAACTACATATACATGTAGAGAGAGTGTGTGTTAGGTTCAGACCAGAATGATAACCAAATAACACAATAAAAAAAAAACATAATCGATGACATGTGATTTTACACTAAAATCACGTGTAAAATCATAAGTGATTCATGTGATATTCAAGTCACGGGCCACGTAGCCTGCATACCTTTACATTGACCGTTAATGTAAAATCACATGTGATTTAGCCGTTCACGTGTTCCCTTATTTGGTTATTGTTCTCGTTTTATCTCCTACCGCCGTATGTGTATATATATATGTGTATGTATGTATATATATATATATATATATATATATATATATATACAAGATGGGAAGTTAAGCTATAATAACCAACCTGCCAATAGCCCTTTCGAGTCACAGGGACATACGTGTGGTTACCCCTAAAATGATTAGGATCAACCCCACCAAACACGAGCTCTCCCCCTTCTTCCTCATCAACATTGCGATTAAGCCAAAAAGAAAACACAGCTTCTTCAACAAGTCCTTGATTAACCATGTTGTACCTATAATTAACACGTTATATACATATATGCATATATATATATATATATATACATGCAGATATCGGAATTCAACAAAGTATGAAACATGAACAAGACTCCTAGTTCAGTAACTAGAGATGATAAAACTACCAGACAGGAACCGCTTTCCCAGCCGAGATCTCTTGAAATCCAAGGCCAAGTATACCATCAAAATCCCTTGCCAAGAACACCGTGTCGTCCTCTTCGGTTGTCTCTATAAAATCCTGAAGAAAGTGAAAAGCATCACAAGGAGTCAAGACTCGATAACAACGTTACATCGATCACGACGGTTTTACCAGCGTCTGGATTCGAACCCACTACATTAGACCCACATGAGATCCACGGGGTGCATAGGAACCCCCCTGGATTTTACTGGTCTTTAAGTGTGTTGCCATGCCAATGTGCCCCATGTATATAATGGTCATAAATCTCTCATTTTAAGACCTATAAAGTTTTCTTAGTAATACTTCTTCCAAATTAATACTCCCCTAAACCCTAAATACAAGGGTGGTGCCTGGTTGGTTTGAGCTTGGCTCCAAAGGTCAAAAGTAGTAGGAGGTCACAGGTTCAAATCCAAGACGAAATCAAAATCCCCTTGTGGCCACGGAGGTTTAAATGCGGTGACTCCGGGCTACCTGCAAAGCAGGTGGTCGCCCTGGGATTAGTCGGCTCGCATAGCGGATTGGATATCCAGGTTAATAAAAAAAAAAAAATCTTTACCTGCTGTTCAACAACAAGATCACCCACTTCGACAGAGTCTTGGCTATAAAAACCAACGATCGCTCCGGTTCCATATTGAATACTCGCAGTTGTCCCTTGATGAAACACGATACCAATTAGTAACCTTTTACCATCAAACAGGAAGTCGGGTAGGAACCAAAGCCGTCCCTTAGCATGTTAAATGTGAGATTTTGAACAGGGCATCCGAAATTTTGGGGCCTAAGTTTACATGCGTATAGGGTTTTTTTTATACTATATTTGTGTAAAAGGTTCAAATCATTAATTGTTTGGTTTTATGTTCAAATTATTAATGGTTTAGGTTTAGTTTTAGATTGTTAATCGTTTTAGGTTTAACTCATTTTTGTTCTTTAACATATATTCTCTGATATCTCATTTATACAATGTACTCAAAAGTTTTAGATGTAGCAGGCCTCCAAAAGGATTGGAACGTCCGGGGTAGCAATATACGAGACCATACCATTTCTCTTGTAGGTACTTGAATCGCCCGACTCATACCTTGGGTGAATCACACAAGCTAGCTGCATGTGTCCATAAACAACCATGAGCACATGATTGGAACCATAAATCAACGGCTATTCTATTTTAGCAAAACACTCGGTAAGTAAATAGATCGAAACTTACTGAAGTGTAGCACTTTGAAGAAGGTACCCATAGATCAGAACTTCCGGTGTCGAAAATCACTGCGAAGTTTTGAGGTGGAGTTCCGATACCAATCTCACCATAATACGCAGTATCCCTATCGTTCGTTAGTGCAACAATGCCACTACCCGAGACCCTGAGCGTACGGCGGAAGCCAAAATCTTTTCGAGCGTTTCCTAACATATGCACGCCATGTGCACGAAGTTGGTCGAGTCGGTCCACCTTCCTCTTTTTAAGTCCAACCCGAAGCAATCCGCCGTTGGAGACCGAAAATGCAGTAGGTGATAGAAGAAAAAACAAGAACAAGGCAAGCAGGCTTGCTTTGATTGGGGTACCCATGTTTCACTGCAACCATGACAGAAGTTTCTTCTTTAGACAATGGTTAAATTGTACTCTCACTTGAAATCTTTGTCGCCTCTATTTGTTAAGGGTATGTTTAGTGTCTAGACAAGACAGGATAAGACAAGACAGAACAGGATAGAACAACTCTTCAACGTTTGGTAAGATAAAACTGGGCAGAACAAAATAAGTAAAATAACTAATTTACCCGTGATGAGTTGTTTATTTTAATTAATTTATATAATTTATTAAATTATAATAGAATAATTAATTTTTATAACAAAATATATCATTTGGAGTTTTCGTCAAAACAATTAAATTGACACCAAATAAAAAGTTTATGTAGCTTCCAATTTTTATTTTTATCTCTTTTCAACACTATTTTTTATTATTAATATATAAATAAATTAATAAAAATATAAAAACTGTATAAAAATAATATTTTGAGTACGGTAAAATGAAAGTTTAAGAAACATAAAATACGATAAATAAAATTTAAAGAATGAATAAAATGTAAAAAATAGACCTATTTGATGTTTTAGAAGAGAATTAAGTTTTATTTTGAGGTTATATTGGTAAAATATAAGTCTGTTCCACCTTGTTCCACCATGGGGTAGGGGTGGAACAGACCTGTTTCATTTTGTTCCACATAAAAGTCATGCCAAACATGAGACAAGGATACATGTCATGTTCTGTGTACCAACGCACCCTAACTGATGAACTTATGTTATGTTAGTACAGAGTGACGACTATACACAACTACAGAACAAAGTAATTGTCGTACATTTTCATCAGCAATCAAAACGGCTCCTATGAATCAGTACATGTAAATTAAACAGCAAACGTAAACGAATCAAAGTTATAAACTATATATATAACAAACAGTTAAATTCGACTGATCGGAAAAGATATCGGTTAACGATATCGGATTGAAGGTTAAACTCACCTCTTATTTGATGGAAGCAATGAAGGAGGGTGTGTGAAGAGAGCAATGTGTAGGAGAGAAGCACCACCCTCCTTTTATAGAGCAATCAATTGGAAACTTTGTCTTTACAACCCCCCAACTTTGGTTTATTGACAATTTTGGTCCTTTGATATATTTGATGCATATCAATTATAGAGAAGAACATAAATCATACATATAAGTTATAAATCATCTCGCGCTTGATATAGGGACTGATCTGGTGCATCTCATCCTAATGTGCATGCACGGAACTGATTTGATGCAACCCATTCTAGCTTTTTTCCTGAAATATATAGTTGTTAAAGACGCATTGCTAGAACTCACTTTTCTTGTAGTCGATCAACCAAGTGTCAGATATTCTCAAAATGTTTTGAGTGACTACTAACAGTCTAACTCTGCGATCATAAACCACAAGGGTTGCAGTGTGGTGGTTGATGTTTAGGTAGATGAGGTGGAATATCTCATCTGTCATGAGTTCAATTCCATGTATCCACATCAATTGTGATCACTGAGTTTATCAGGGATGGTATCTTACAGTCACAATTTGTCGGAATTAGTCTGTACATAGCCTAGGATACACATCCAAAAAAACACTACGATCATATTCATTTGTCGTGGAAATCTCAGACTGAAAGCTTGCTATAATTATACCAGAAACTTGATTCTGTTACTACGACGCAACTGTCCAAGCCAAAGGAAGGGGCACTGTGGTAAATTTTATGATGCATTATTCGAATCGAAAACTTATCGGAGTGGTTGAGATTTGGTATCAAAGCCAAGGTCTACCACTCTAGGGACTCGATACTCTGGGGCAATCGTCTCGTTTTTCACTCGTCTAGCCCCCTCTCGACACTCTTGGACAATAAGTGCCCAGCTAGACTTGGAAGATTCCCTCTATATACGTTGGAACCTCATTTCTTCCCTAAAGGGCTCTTTTGAAGATTAATCTGAGGTTTCACATATTTTCACAGTAAAAACATATAAAAAATTCTAAATTTTACTAAATACTCTGAACAATAAAGTTATAGACGACAATTAATGAAAAATTAAAAAATAAGAAAAACATTAAATATAAATTATAAAATTCAAACTTGTACGTGGGTGGAATTAATAATCGAATGAATGAATTGAGGAGAGAAAAAAAATTATGGGGACGAAGGAAGAAAACCGAAGAAGAATTAACAACGAAAATATGAATGAATACACTACAATAAAATTGGGTTTATAAGACACTTTTAATCTTTAAGTATTTCAATAGACAGTTTTATAGGACTTAATTTTTAGGACCAAAATATAAAGCGTCCTATCTAAAGGTGTTGTAATAAGTTTATATGACGCTTTTAGGCGTTTTAACAAGTTTTTTAAGACATTTTTAATACAAAGTGTCGCATTAGTAACTTAGTGTCCTATAAACTCAATTTTTTTATAGGACATTTGTTCAAATAGTCCCCTATAAAGTTGATAATTGAACGTTTTATATTAAAATTGTCCTAAAAAACTTATTACGACGTCAAAAAACGTTATATAAACTTATTACAACAACTTTAGAGAGGACACTTTATTTTTTTGGTCTATAAAGAGGTCTATTAGAACACTTAGAATTTGGGAGTATCCTATAAACTTGATTTTGTTGTAGTGATAGATAATTATGGAATAAAAAATAATGATAAAATTATATAACTAAAGGGTCGTTTACCAAACACTTACCCTAGTAAGCATTTATCAGTCACGTTACCTCACCGGATGAATATGGTAAGGACCAAGAATCTTGCCCGGTAAGAACGAGACAAGAACCATGAGTCTTACCCGGTAAGTGAGAACGACGACTCTTACCATAGTAAGCGCTTACGGGGTAAATTGTTACATACGATGTCCTTTTGATGGACTAAAATCTTACTTGTAAGTAGAGATGGCCAAATGGGCCCGGCCCGGCCCGTAACCGCCGGAGGACCGGAACCGGGACCGGAGAGGGACCGGAACTGGGACCGGAGAGGGACCGGAACCGGCCCGGGACCGGTATGGACCGGTTGTGGACCGCCGGTTATGAACCGTTTATGGATTTTAACGTTTTTTAGGACCGAGACCGGTAAAGACCGGAACCGGTTATAGGACCGGCCCGGCCCGGTCAACAAAAGTCAACGTGTATATATATATATAACAAAACGTATTTATAAAATTAAACGTATACATATATAACAAAACATATTTTTAAATGTATTTATAATAAAACGTATATATATTAAACATATTAAAAATAACATATTACAAACATATTAATAACATATCAAAAATAAATACGTTTAATTTTATAAATACGTTTAAAAATATGTTTTGTTATATATATATATATATATATATATATATTAATTACCAAAAATTTGAAAAAAAAAATATTTTTTTTTGCAAAGGACCGGCCGTAACCGGTTATGGGACCGGACATCTTAACCGGTTACCGGTAAGTTTGACCAGTTATGGAGGATTTCACCGGAACCGGGAGCGGAACCGGGACCAGTTATGGAGGGACCGGTTATGGAACGTTTTTGTCTTGATCGGGACCGGCCGTAACCGGTTATGGCTCGGCCCGGGACCGATTTTTGGCCACCTCTACTTGTAAGTAAATAATAATGTTAAATTTTAGCAGTAAACACTTACCGGGTATGTGTTTGATAAACGGCCCCTAAGTTGACTTTAGGTTACTTAAATTAAACAAAAAGGTTAAAAAACACTTGTAATAAACAAGATCTAAACTGGGTCCACTATCTAACAAGCAAAGATTCTTGTTACATCGTTTATAACGCGGCACCATCAGCACACCTTCGGGTAGGGGTGTTCAAAAACCCGACTAACTCGATCAATCCGATCAACCCAACCCAATGCGAAATAACTCAATCCGAAGCAACACGATGTCTAATCGAGTTGTAAAATTGTCAAACCGTAGGTATTGTGTTGATATTGGGTTACTATTATCTGAACCCAACCCAACCCGATGAACCCGATATTCTTTTATTTCTTGGATTTAATATGATTGTTGAATTTCTATTAATATATACATTAGACAATTACACTATCATTTATGCTTTTCATACACACATATTTTCAATCTATTCATATATCTATATAACTCATTCAGTAACTGTGAACATATATATGTAAATTGAGAAAATTAACTGAATGTGACATACGTAAGAAATATGAATAAGTTGTATCAAATGGTTGATGATAAAAAAGAAATTATAAGTAGAGAAATAACATATTCAAGGTTAGAAAAATATTTTAATATACCAAAGTATCAACCCGACCAACCCGTACGGGTTGGGTTGGGTTGGGTTAAGATTTTTTCAAACCGCAAGCATTGGGTTGGATTGTTCAAATTTCCTCAACCCGATCAACCCAACCCATGAGCATCCCTACCTTCGGGGCCACTATGATGAAAAGAAATGTAAAGATTGAAGTGTCGTTTTCTGGTGTGAAACAATACAGTACAGCTTATGTGAACAATATATTGTTGTTTTATAATATGAAACAACACATGAATTTATCACTGAAACGTGTTGTTTCATATAGTGAAAGAACACAGTATCGTCTCACAATATGTAACAAACATTGAAATGAAATGCAAAGTGATGTTTCACTGTGTCAATCAATACAGTAGTGCTAATGTGAACAATATAGTGTTAGTTTCACATTATGAAACAACACAAGGATCAGATGTTTCACGACCAGCCTTAAATCTTTAGAGATCCTGGAATAGAAGTGTGAGCACATCGCTATGGATTTTGTGACCAAGTTGTCGAAGACGTTAAGAAGTTGGGGGATCGTGTAATGTTAAAAGTGTCCCCATGGAAAGGCATAATGAGGTTTGGGAAACGTGGGAAGCTTAATCCTCGTTTCCTTGGACTGTTCGTCGTATTGAGTCAGGTAGGACTTCAAGCCTACAAATTGGAGTTTCCATTTGAGATGAACGAGATTCATAACACTTTTCCATGTATGTTACTTACGAAAATACCTAGCGGAAGAGTAAAGTGTGATCCCTCTT